CCCATCCACACGTTCATCAGACCCCCACCCCCACGTTAATCAGACCCCCTGTTGTTTTAGGCATGTACAGGTACATTTGACCTGCTCGAGGCAATGTAGTAGTACCCCTTTCGTAAGAGATAGTATGACGTAACTGGAGGCATGGGGCGGGGATATTTGATATGTCCTGGCCAGCCTAAACAGATACACTATAACACTTACAGTAGCCGCGAGTGTCTTGAGACCTAAACGTAGATTGATTTTTAGTAATAACTATTATTAAGTGCACAGGTTCTAGCCTCGTTTGTCAATAAACCTGTATTATAGTATGTGTGTATTGACAGACGAGGCTAGTACCTGTGATTTAGTAGTGTTTTTCACATTTCGTATCTCTGTCAATTCGTTGTTAGCGGTAAAAAACCAATTTTTTATTTAACACATATAATTAAATACCAAGAATACGTCGATTACAGGAATGTTAACATATTTTCCCGTTTGGTAGAAACTATTTAAACCAATCGAAAAACCATATAATCTAACTGAGTCTTCGATGTCTTCTCGCGAATAAGCTGATACGCCTGGTGAAACTCGATCGTTTCTTAACATATTACAGAAAATCCATTTTAAATATAAAAAGGGCGATTTATTAATATTTAAACGTATTTTAAAAATAGAAATGATTTTGAAATGGATGAATCAGAGACGTATATAACACGTCTCTGGATGAATGAAATGCTAATATATATATAAAAAAAAAAATCTTGTTAAAATGTAGGAACTAATATTTTTTCAATTTCAGCTGCCATATATGTGTGCGAGGAGGATCAAAAGTTCGAGGTTTGGATTTCAAAACGACCTTTGCCGAAAGAATTACGTTTCTTCATCTTCTAAGCTTCCTCCGTCGATACCGACGATTACGCGGGAAGTCAGTCTTGTGCTTGTGCATTAATTATTATCAGGGATGTGAAGTGGACTACACATCCCTGGTGCTACACATCCCTGTTATTATTTACAGTGATTTTTTATTATATTTTTGCTATTTGCTATAAGAAAATTCACGTTCAGAAACAAATTTGTTTAACTGCTTGAGCGTTTGCGCGCATTCCTAACTACCATAGCAAGGGTCGGTTATGGGAGTATTACTTGTGTCAAGTAGTATATATCAATTCAGCTGGACGTCACTTCCGTATCTAAATATCGATCGAGTTGTCGATTACATCCCGGAGTTTGACAGGCGATTTCTAGATGTAAAGGTTGTAACTGTCGTCGGTAATCCATACATTTTGACAGTAAGGAACAAATGCTTTATTTATAGTCTGTCGACTCGGTTTGACTGTGAAATTGTGATGAGTAAACCAAGAAAGCGACCGGATCTGCGCCTGCCGTCCACCTCTGGATCTGAGCAACTCGGCTCAGCAGCTGGACTGGATGGAGAGTAAGGCTTTTATCATTGACTATTTTGTTCTTACCTCTGAATTTTTCTCTTTAATACCTATTTTATACAGGTTTCATGTACGAATGCATTTTGCATCCAAAAGCAATCATTGAATCAATATCTTAGAGACGGGAAGACGCCCACGCCAAATGGGCGTCAGAGTTAGGAAGTCGAGCATAAATTATTCCTTAGAATCTCAGCGCTTTGATTTCAGTGACACTGTAGCAACTGATTCACTAGACGGTATACAGTATATGTTATTGTTTTCATTGTCACAGTGTTTCAACATAGACTTCGTAAAGTTAATAAAACAGAAAATATTAACAGTTCATGATTCGTAGCAATCTAACATCAGTGTAATTTGGAATAAAAATACTGGAGTCTTAAATTTGTCTGTCTTTGTGTTCTAACTTGCACTAGATAGCAAATACACACACCCAACGAAAATTAGGGAGAGAAATAATGTGATAATTGCAACATTCCGATTTCAACTGTAAATTTCAACCCCTGATACGTCATTATTCAAAGACCCCAATAAACATGGGAACTTATTGATATACTGAGCTTGTACATTTGTTAAAAAATGTTCCATACTGAGGTTAACAGCGTCAATAATAAGGCACTAATCTAAGGCTGATGTTTCATAAAAATAATTCACCCTACTAAACATGTCAATCTCTTTAGTAACCCATACTCGGTAACTAAATGCTACAAAATGACATATTACAGGGGGGACCCAGGAATTAATTTTGGGTGTTGTCCAAAATTTTTAATTCAGAAAAAGACAATTTTTTGCACTTATCTAGAACAGAGACGTATATATGTGTTATATACGTCTCTGTCTAGAACTAAAAAATAAGAATTGTGTTGTCGGTTGTACATGTTAACTATTTTCTGGCTCCCAAAAATATATAGAACTACGATATTTCTGAGATTGTGTCAATTATAAAATCCCTGCCGAGCGTAGCGAGTCAATTTTGTTTTCTGATGATGTAATACTAAACTATTTCAAGCTATGCTGAGCGTAGAAAGCAAGAATTTATTGGACATTATTTCCATTGTCAAACAGATCGAGTGAGGGGTAGAACAGTTTTCTGAGTTAGCAGTATTATTCCAGGTTATATTTTATAACGTAAAGTATTATATATTTTATGATGGCCGTGCAGAGCGAGTGTTAAAAAATTCTCGAAAAAAATGTAAAAATGTAGGTGTTTGGTAAAAATTCTCGAAAAAAATGTAAAAATGTAGGTGTTTGGTAAAAATTCTCGAAAAAAATGTAAAAATGTAGGTGTTTGGTTAAAATATTAATGTTTGTGTCTTGCCCTTCATGTGCATGTATTTAAGGCGAGCATTTTGGCAATTAAATATTGATTTATTTTGTCATAAATATGAAATATGATTTAACTGTTTGTCTTTAATTAAGAATTTGTATACGCATACATATGTACAAGGGCAACACCTAATGAAAAGGATATACATGCCTGGCTTTTATGCTAACATTGGTTATTATTCACCTGATAAAATGATCCTAAGGAGGGGCTTCATTGTCTTTGCAATTTTTGATATTTAGATTTTTTAATTGGAAAAACAAATCACTCCTGGTGATCATGTGTACATGAAACCACATGTGAAAATATCATGAAATGGACTCTTCCTTTGAAATAACACTTAACCTAAATACCTAATCCAACAGATGGTATAGTCCTCTTCCAACTGATGGAGTGATCACCACATCGTGACATTAGAACAATAAGATTAGGTAGAGTCAGTCCGGTGAGCCTTGACCACTGACCTGACTGGAGACCCTACTAATATATAGACAATAGAGGATTAATCCCATATTGTTTAGAGTATAAGTAGTGGACTCCTTGTTTAGGCAACACCCTTAGGCATAAATAGATATTCAAACTGCTGGCAAGGGGAAGCCATAGATGTTAGAAGGAAATCCCATATGAAATGGAGGAAAATCTTCAAAAACCTTGGTCCAGATTATTTTTGGATTTTTTATTGACCGGCAACTAGGGCAACACCCATGGGTCCGCCAATGCATTATCTAAAGTTCATCAAAATTAGCACTTTACCAAGTGTAATGTGAATATTTCTGGCACTGGTTTGTGGAAAAGATTAAGTTAAGAGAACATTGGTGTCTTCCTGAAAATTTCCATCCAGCTTTTGTTTATCATATATTTATATTACTACAACATAAAATTTGATAAATGCTTTCAATCAATATTTTATGGAGGTGAATTCGGGAGAGAGTATAAATTGAATTGCATAATTTCATGTCTGTTTTGTGTAGCAAGTCCAACACAGGGACTGCAAGCCTGGAGGCATTGCAGCAGAAGCTGAAAGAATTGGACCTGAATGACCAGCAGAGGGAGAGACTGGAATCTTTCCTCACACAGAAACAACAAGTGGGAGAATTATGTGCTGAAGATTTTGAGAAGCTTGGAGAACTTGGAGCAGGAAATGGTGGAGTTGTTCTGAAAGTGCGCCACAGCAAACTTGGTCTAGTTATGGCCAGAAAGGTACCTATATATACATCAGAACTGGATAATAATGCTCTGTCATTTCTTGTTATTTAAATGCTACAAGGATAATCTTACTAATATTTTCAGGACTTACAGTGCAACTCATTTAAATTATCTAATTTCCGTGTCCACCACCCAGAATGATAAAGTGCTACCTTCATGATCAAGACTGATCAATTCTAATGAACATTGTTCACTCAATATGACAAATCAGAAATCAGTCATTTATTAATTTTATTTCTATTTTATTACAGCTTATACACCTTGAAATAAAACCAGCAGTCCGCAATCAGATCATCAGAGAACTCAAAGTCCTCCACGAGTGTAACTCTCCCTTCATCGTAGGTTTTTACGGTGCATTCTACAGTGACGGTGAAATCAGCATTTGCATGGAGTACATGGTAAGTTGTTCATAGGATTTCAGCCATTATAGTAAATTATTAAATTTAGAAATTCTATTTATCAGCATGGTGTATACAGTTCAACTTGTCGTAGCGAATGCCTGTTTATAGTGACTGTCTATAACAACCAATTTGAAAAATAAAAATGGCTAACAACTGACTGTGTGTTAGCTCAACAAGGCTGGATGGTATACTCAAGTTTGTGGTCAGTTATATTATGATATAAATCAGTATTCAGATTTTAAGACAATAAACTAAAACAAGATAAATTTAAGTTATTTTATTTTGACAAGGTGTCTCAACAGTAACCTCAACAACATTAATCATTATTAGTTTTTTCCTTTCTCTCAGCCATTCAGTACTTTAACAATGAACAAATTCAGGTAATAAGTTGAAGGATCAGTTGCTGGACTATATTATGTTAACAGCTGGATTTCATTCGTCATTGGCTGTGTACAGAGAAAACATAAGAGTTGTAATTTTGTGAGGAGATATTGATACAATGTATATAAATATATTAAGTTTTTAACAAAGTTTATCTTAATCAATGATATATATACTTTTAAAACTTTTCTGTCTGATCTTTCCAGGATGGTGGATCATTAGATCTGATTCTGAAAAAAGCTGGCCGGATACCGGAGCAAATACTGGGCAAAGTTACAGTGGCTGTAAGGAACTCAACAACTATGTATCAGACAACATTTTACAGAAATTAGAATAATGCTGTACAATGTACTTAAAAAACAGTGATATCACATTGATATCGTCAACGTGTTGCACTCTAAAGACTGCAAATACAGTAAATAGAATTGATATACTTATAAACCTCCTCCTTGGAGGTTGGCTAGGATATTTAAATGAATGATGAGAAAATAAAAATAATTCTATTCAATGATCTGATGTTAAAGCTTCCAGTATTGGTCAATCACACTGCACAACGGTGCTTTTAAGTGTTTACCAAAATATTTAGTTTTCACTTCAATAAGGAGGTGCAAGTGTTTCTACCAGGTCATCATTTTGTGTGTTTTGAGTTTTTTAGCCAGTAACATGCTTACAAGTAATTTTCAGTTTAATCCAGGAACATACATGTAGTTTTTATGTGTATTTTCAGGTTTTAAAAGGCCTGTCATACCTGAGGGAAAAACATCAAATAATGCACAGAGGTAGTTATATACCACTCTCACTAGTTAATTCTACAATCCTATACTGTAAACATAGATAGTTTACCAGTAGTCTTATTTAAGCACTTTTGATGCTTAAGATATTGTGCTAAATTATGATTGTATAGATGGAAGTTGCTGCACATTGTTTTCAAAAGCATATTTTGTGGATTCGCCAATTTATCAATGCACTGATCAGTAAAAATTTGATATATAGTAATATATGATACATGTATTAGAATTAGGAACATATCTTGTGTCTATCAGATCCAACAAATATCAGTGTGGATGTCATGACCCTAATGTACTACATCCAGAAAAAAATTGTTTCCAGTACATTATTTACAACAGTTACTTTTGATGTAAACATTCAGTACCTCCTTTTTCTCCTTGTTGCAGATGTAAAACCTTCCAATATATTAGTGAACTCGCGTGGAGAGATAAAGATCTGTGATTTTGGTGTGAGTGGTCAGCTCATAGATTCTATGGCCAACTCTTTCGTAGGCACCCGATCTTATATGTCGGTAAGTCAATCAAACAAGCAAGCAATTTTGTGTTACTGGATCTTAATCCACTGGTATGAAAGCTTAAGCTATATTTCATTTTACCTAGATATTTGTTAAAACCACAACAGCAATTAACACAATAAGGTTATACAAGGCTACCCAGTTAAAAATAGAAGAGAAAGTGTCCTTCACCAGAACATGATGAGATCAAACCAAAGTGATCCAATTCAGTACTGTTAAAGTTGACTTACAGTCAATGTTCTGTTCAATAATCTTTGTTTAAAGTGGTAATAATAATTAGACATATCCAGACTACTTTATACGAGTGACTTAAATCATCATTCCTTGATCAGACTAGTTGATCCATCTAATGTGGATACACTTAACTTGCCAATAAACTACAACCAATCGCTTCCATGTTTTCAAATAATTACCCATGTGTAAATGGTCAGAGCTTCATTCTTCTTGGATCTGTATTTATTTGTAGATATAAAACCACACTTTTCTCTCTATTACAGCCTGAGCGTCTTCAGGGAACTCACTACTCAGTCCAGTCAGATATCTGGAGTATGGGACTGTCCCTGGTAGAAATGGCGATCGGTCGCTACCCCATTCCTCCCCCAGACCCCAAAGACCTTGCCAGCATTTTTGGGGAGGATGTTCTAGAGGAACATAAGGAAGCATCTAAAACAGGAAAACCACTCAAGGGTAAGATAGTTCAACACTAGGACTGATCAAGGGTAAGAAAGTTCAACACTAGGACTGTTCAAGGGTAAGATAGTTCAGCAGTTAGCCTGTCTAAGGGCGAGATATTTAGTTAAACAGCTGGGATTTTTGAGGGTAAGATAGTTCAATGGTAGGACTGTTCAAAGGGTAAGATAGTTCAACAGTAAGATTGATCAAGGGTAAGATTGTCCATCATTAGGACTGTTCAAGGGTAAGATAGTTCAACAGTAAGACTGTTCAAAGGGTAAGATAGTTCAATAGTAGGACTATTCAAGGGTCAGATAGTTCAACAGGAAGACTATTTGAGGGTTAGATAGTTCAACACTAGGGCTGTTCAAGGGTTAGATAGTTCAACAGTAAGACTATTTGAGGGTAAGATAGTTCAACAGTAAGTTTATTTGAGGGTAAGATAGTCCAACAGTAAGACTATTTGAGGGTAAGACAGTTCAACAGTAAGACTATTTGAGGGTTAGATAGTTCATCAGTAAGCCTATTTGAGGGTAAGATAGTCCAACAGTAAGACTATTTGAGGGTAAGATAGTCCAACAGTAAGACTAGTTGAGGGTAAGTTGGTCTAACAGTAAGACTATTTGAGCGTAAGATAGTTCAACAGTAAGACTATTTGAGGGTAAGATAGTTCAAGAGTAAGTCTATTTGAGGGTAAGTTGGTCTAACAGTAAGACTATTTGAGGGTTAAATAGTTCAACACTAGGACTGTTCAAGGGTAAGATAGTTCAACAGTAAAACTATTTGAGGGTAAGATAGTCCAACAGTAAGACTATTTGAGGGTAAGTTAGTTCAACTGTAAGACTATTTGTAGGTAAGATAGTTCAACAGTAAGACTATTTGAGGGTAAGATAGTCCAACAGTAAGACTATTTGAGGGTAAGTTAGTTCAACAGTAAGACTATTTGAGGGTAAGATAGTTCAACAGTAAGACTATTTGAGGGTAAGATAGCCAAACAGTAAGACTATTTGAGGGTAAGATAGTTCAACAGTAAGACTATTTGAGGTCAAGATAGTCTAACAGTAAGACTACTTGAGGGTAAGATAGTCCAACCGTAAGACTATTTGAGGGTAAGATAGTTCAACAGTAAGACTACTTGAGGGTAAGATTGTCCAACAGTAAGACTACTTGAGGGTAAGATAGTTCAACAGTAAGACTATTTGAGGTCAAGATAGTCTAACAGTAAGACTACTTGTGGGTAAGATTGTCCAACAGTAAGACTATTTGAGTGCAATCAGTTTGCAATCAATTCACCACACCAACTGTACAAATGTAGTTGTTACATCATTTTAGGATCAAAATGTTTCGTGTTGAACAGTACAATAATTATGAATTCAGGGGGAAACAATATGTTTCTGGCTAAAATACTCACTTTTTTAAAACTTATTTTTGTTTGACAATTTTCATTATGAAATAAAACATTTGACAGTTTATATCTAAGAAATTGTGCAATTTTATATTTCAGGTCTTTAAAGATTAAACAATATGTTTGATAAAATGTTTTGTTTTCTTGATATTAAAAATAAAGAACAACATTGATTTCAGTTTGAAGGTCACATACACTACATATGGAGCAAATGTACAGTTATTTATTTTGGACATGTTCCATATGGAGCTTGTGTATACCATCACACATATGGGACTGTATACGTGTACGCTGTGATCATACATACAGAGGTTATAATTACCATGATCATATATATGGAGGTTTTGTGTTTACTTTCATAAATATGAAGGTTGAACACAGCATGGTCATACAGATGGACATATTATACTATAAAACAGAAAATATTTTGCATTTTACTTAGCTGTTTTTGCCCTTGAATGAAAAGGAAAATTCAAAATGAGGACATATGTGGTTAGCAGTGTAGGTAAGTACCAGATCACACATCAGTGAACTCTGGATAAAACGTTGACTGGACAAAAATATGAAGGTTTATTGTATGCCAAATGGAAATTGTGTATATGTTCATATATATATAGACATGTATATTCCAGGTGGAGTTAATGTAATACCATAAGGGAAGTTGTTCACTGTATTGCTTATTTTCAAGAATTTATTCACTATAGTTAATGAAGTCGGTGAATTTAATTGTTCCTTTTAAAAAAAAAAATCTATATCTTTCACACAAATCTGGGAACATTGACATTTTGACACTGACTTTCAGAATAGTCTTTTGTAAAATTTCAAAAGTGCAAAGCATTTCCAAGATTCTTGATTTGGTAAACTCTTGTGCGTTCACAAAATCTAAATCCCTTGTAGAAAATGAGTAAGAATACAGTAAACCCTCCTACACTATGAACAGGTAAACTCCATAGGGAGGTTGTTTACACCACCATACACAACTTGTAAGGCACATAGAGGGAGGTGTATAGTACATACAAGTACTGTAGCCTCTAATTTAGCCGCATACAAGAAGATGGATTACACATTTCAAGCATGCAACACCTGTGGACAGTGCCTGTAAGATATTTGTGCATGTACTGTGTGGTGTAAGAGAGATCTACTGCCCATTTCAGGCTGCCCAGGCGACTTTCAGGTGATAACAGGAGACGGCCCCTTACCTATGGCCATATTTGAGCTACTAGAATACATAGTTAATGAGGTAAAGCACGACCTGTCCAAGGGAATCTCACCACAGTAGCACCACCTGCTTCAGACATAGTAATCATGGAATGTTGGACGTGTTATTGCTCTAGATCTCCCACTACCATCAGCTGTTCCACAGGTTACTAGTCCGTAGGTTTTACTGGGAGAATGTTACTAACAGAGTTTACAAGATACTGGTGTTTGTAGCATTTGAGTGACTTAGATTGATTGGTGCTTTCTAATGAAATGATGCTCATTTAGGAAAACTCATCCTCATCTAGGGCTATTGAGCTTCATCTAGGGTATTGATATTCACCTATAAGGTTATTGATACTTATGTAGGGTTATTGATACTCACCTCTCACCTAAGGTTATTGATCCTCATCTAGGGTTGTTGTTAATACTCACCTAGTGTTATTGATCCTCATCTAGGGTTATTGATCCTCTCCTAAGGTTATTGATCCTCATCTAGGAGAGTTATTAATAATTATGTAGGTTTATTGATACTCACCTGGGAATGTATCACTTAGTCTATGGCCCATTGGGACTATCTGAAGGATTTTCCACTATATCCCTCATCAGTCTGTCTGCCCAGGTGTCATTTTGTCACCTACAATTGAAAATGTTTGTATGTATATTAAGAACTTCTTGGGATGGTGGAGTGTTGTGTACAGAAATCAGGGCTTATACCCCACTGAATAAAGATTTAGGAGTCTTTGTACACCCAAAGTTTGTGTAGATGTAGGTGATTATGGATTTCTTTCAGTCCTTTGCCTGATTGATTTTCACATAGGGTTAGTGATGTGCAGTTGTACTAATGTAGTTCTTGATAATCTTGGGTAACTACTACCTCACAATAATCTTGGGTAACTACTACCTCACGATAATCTTGGGTAACTACTACCTCACGATAATCTTGGGTAACTACTACCTCCCCTGTACTACGGAGGGTACTACAAGTAAGCACTCTATACATCAGTCTGTCACTTTGCCCAGAACATATCTCTTTCACTCTTTTATTTACTTTTACCAAATTTTGTATGGGACCAGTTGGGATGAGTGTTGCATACCTATTGGTAACTTCATTCTTGTGGCTCATAGTATTCTGAGTTATGGTCCTTTGTTTACCTTGTCCTGTGTATATCTCGGGGTATAATGTGTAACCTACAATTACCAATTTTGTATGTGAGCACCTCTTTAATTGTAGAGTATCACACACTGACATAGGGTCTTGTTCCTCGCTATATACAGAGTTAGGCTCCGAACAGTTCACTTCTTAAACACAATTTTGAGATAAGGGACAAAAGATTGCTCCCAATACCCATTTTTCACCTAGTAAGAGGGGTTATTGATCCTCATCTAGATTTATGGTTTTTCATCAGAAATTATTTATGCATACAGAGTTGGTAAATATCATCAGACTTAACACTGAAATAGAGTTATTGATCCTCATCTAGCTTCAAGGGTTATCAATGTTCATATTGGAATTTTGCCTTGTATCATTTTCAGTGCAACAAATTGGTTGTAAATATATAAATGAGTTCTGTCCATGCATGCATTTGACCTTTGTATTTGAAACATTCCTCAAAATAATTCAGACACAAAGCAAGTAGACTAGGTATGTGACTTTTACTATTAAAAGCATTCTTATGGCTTTTGCATTGTTCTGGAAACTTGGAAATTAAAGCTAATTCTTATAGGACTACATGTGAGGTGTGTCTGAGGTAGGATTACTAATTGTAGGGTGTGTCTGAAGTAGGATTACTCAGTGTAGGGTGTGTCTGAAACATGAATACTAAGTGTAGAGAGTAACTGAAACATGAATACTAAGTGCAGGGTGTGTCTGAAACAGGAATACTAAGTGTAGGGTGTGTCTGAAACAGGAATACTAAGTGTAGGGTGTGTCTGAAACATGAATACTAAGTGTAGGGTGTGTCTGAAACAGGAATACGAAGTGTATGGTGTGTCTGAAACAGGAATACTAAGTGCAGGGTGTGTCTGAAACAGCACTAAGTGTAGGGTGTGTCTGAAACAGGAATACTAAGTGTAGGGTGTGTCTGAAACAGTACTAAGTGTAGGGTGTGTCTTAAACATGAATACTAAGTGCAGGGTGTGTCTGAAACAGGAATATATTTATATATATATATATATATACTAAGTATAGGGTGTGTCTAAAACAGGAATATATATATACTAAGTATAGGGTGTGTCTGAAACAGGAATATATATATATATATACTAAGTGTAGGGTGTGTGTGAAGTAGAACTAAGTGTAGGGTGTGTGTCTGAGGCAGGACTAAATGTAGGTTGTGTCTAAATAGGACTAAATGTAGGGTGTGTCTGAAACATGAATACTAAGTGAAGGATGTGTTTTAAACAGGAATACTAACTGTAGTGTGTGCCTTAATCAGGAATAATAAGTGTATGGGGTGTGTGAAAAAGGATGCAGTGTAGGTTGGGTCTAAGTGGGACTAAGTGTAGAGTGTGTCTGAAGGAGGACTAAGTGTAGGGTGTGTGTCTCTCTGAAGTAATACTAAGTGTAGTGTGTTTGTCTGAAGCAGGACTATAAGTGTAGGGTGTGTCTGAAGCAGGACTTGGTGTAGGGAGTGTGTCTGAAGTAGGGCTTAGTGTACGGTGTGTGTCTGTCTGAAGTAGGACTAAGTGTAGGGTGTGTCTGAAGCAGGACTACTAAGTGTAGGGTGTGTCTGAACAAGGACTACTAAGTGTAGGGTGTGTCTGTACCAGGACTACTAAATGTAGGGTGTGTCTGAACAAGGACTACTAAGTGTAGGGTTTGCTGTCTGAAGTAGGACTACGTGTAGGGTGTTTCTGGAGCAGGACTACTAAGTGTAGGGTGTGTCTGTACCAGGACTACTAAGTGTAGGGTGTGTCTGAACAAGGACTACTAAGTGTAGGGTGTGTCTGTCTGAAGTAGAACTACATGTAGGGTGTTTCTGGAGCAGGACTACTAAGTGTAGGGTGTGTCTGAAGCAGGACTACTAAGTGTAGGGTGTGTCTGAAGCAGGACTACTAAGTGTAGGGTGTGTCTGTAGCAGGACTACTAAGTGTAGGGTGTGTCTGTAGCAGGACTACTAAGTGTAGGGTGTGTCTGTAGCAGGACTACTAAGTGTAGGGTGTGTCTGTAGCAGGACTACTAAGTGTAGGGTGTGTCTGTAGCAGGACTACTAAGTGTAGGGTGTGTCTGTAGCAGGACTACTAAGTGTAGGGTGTGTCTGTAGCAGGACTACTAAGTGTAGGGTGTGTCTGTAGCAGGACTACTAAGTGTAGGGTGTGTCTGTAGCAGGACTACTAAGTGTAGGGTGTGTCTGTAGCAGGACTACTAAGTGTAGGGTGTGTCTGTAGCAGGACTACTAAGTGTAGGGTGTGTCTGTAGCAGGACTACTAAGTGTAGGGTGTGTCTGTAGCAGGACTACTAAGTGTAGGGTTTGTCTGAAGCAGGACTACTAAGTGTAGGGTGTGTCTGTAGCAGGACTACTAAGTGTAGGGTGTGTCTGAAGCAGGGCGGGGTGTCTGTGGGTAACTGCTGAGACTGTCCATATATATATAGTGTCAACATCTGCCTTATCTGTTTTTGGTTTGTAACTGTATGACTTGATTACATCCAGGCCAAGACTTGAACCAATCCACCAACCAAACTTATTGGTAAATGATCTTGAAAAGGTTATTTTTATGTTAAAAGTTGTGAGGTATGTTGCATCAAAATTTGATTTTCAAAATCTTGGTAATAAATCATTCCAAAAATATTTCAAATCTAAAATGAAATGTGTGTGGCGGTGGCGCCCGTGTTGTTGCCTGGGTTGGTGTGACTGTGTACTGGACTTGGCCTGGAGCTTTGATTGTTCTCTGAATACTCTATGCTTACTGGTATGTTGTTCTACATTTTATGTTGCTGTTTGATTTTATTTTGTGCATTTTAGGATCAAACAGAAATAGCTTTAGCTTCCCCACGCCGCCCGGCAGTGATGGACCACGCCCCATGGCCATTTTTGAGCTTTTAGATTTTATTGTCAATGAGGTATGTTAAGGCATAACACTGGAATCTAGGCCATCATGTATTAATATCATAAAACCTAACCATCTCTTGTGCTGTTTTAACACATTGGTCTTTTATAACATGACAATTAACACCTGGTCACCATCACTTTTAGTTGACCAAACTTTTGGGTGTATAGCTACATGTCTTCACAAACTGGTTGTGTTTTTCAAAGGCTCAGGGCTAGTACAGTATACATATTAAGTTTTCCACTAGCCTGTGCAAAAGAAACTGGTACCAGCCATCAGGCTAGCAGATAGTATACCATTATATCTGTTAGATTAATAAAGAAGAAACAAACATGTCAAATTAAATGTCAAATTAAATCTTTAAAAAGTTGCTTGAAGTTGGAAACTAATACTTATAACCAATTTATCGTATCTGTGTCCTAGGTAAGACATCAAAATAACATGGATCCTGAAGTCTGCTCAATATAGACTGACTTTTCCAGGATATCATCATACAACACTTTGGTTTCCTCTTCCCTACGGAGCACAATTACTTCCTTTTTTGTGTTAATTCCAACCTGCTTTTCCAAATAGTGTGCAAATCTTCTCATCCTGTACCATCTTTACATATCCTGGTGTTCCATGTAATGTATCTTCACCCATAAATTCCAAACCATCTAGGTTCCATCCTGCCTTTCCATTGGTGAACATCTACCCTGCTGTTCCAGGCAGTCTACGCCCCTTTTCTCGTGTTATTATACATTTTTTTGATTATCACTGGTATTCAATCGATACATAATACATTTCTGCTATTCTAAGAAATATATACCCCCCCCCCCCATCTTATCTAACATTTGTTTTGCTGTTCTAGGCAGTGTACTGCCCCAATCACATCATACTTTTGTCTACCTTTCTGGGCAGTGTACACCCCAATCATATCTGAAAAATATTTTGCTGTTATAAGCAGCATACCACATCATTACAGCTAACACAAATTCTGCCTCACCTTGGCTGTCACATGCTACATTATTTCTGTCTTTATAGGCAATGGACACTCAGTTTACACATCATTTCTTGCATTTAGCTACGGGTCAAGATAATTAATCATCAGCTTCCCATCAAATTTCATAGTCATTTTGTGGATCTAGGCAGTGAACACTTAGTTTCAACATCTTATCAAATCTTATGTTGTGGTTCCTGGCAGTGCCCATCATCTGTATCTACCCCAACATCATACATGTCTATCCTGATCTCTAAACAGCGTACTTTACCCAACATCATACATATCTCTCCTGATCTCTAAACAGCGTACTTTACCCAACATCATACATTGTCTCTCCTGTTGTAAAGGCAGTATACTTTACCCAACATCAGACATGTCTATCCTGATCTCTAAACAGTGTACTTTACCCAACATCATACATTGTCTCTCCTGTTGTAAAGGCAGCATACTTTACCCAACATCATACATGTCTATCCTGATCTCTAAACAGTGTACTTTACCCAACATCATACATTGTCTCTCCTGTTGTAAAGGCAGCATACTTTACCCAACATCATACATGTCTATCCTGATCTCTAAACAGTGTACTTTACCCAACATCATACATTGTCTCTCCTGATCTCTAAACAGCGTACTTTACCCAACATCATACATATCTCTCCTGATCTCTAAACAGCGTACTTTACCCAACATCATACATGTCTATCCTGATCTCTAAACAGTGTACTTTACCCAACATCATACATTGTCTCTCCTGATCTCTAAACAGCGTACTTTACCCAACATCATACATATCTCTCCTGATCTCTAAACAGCGTACTTTACCCAACATCATACATGTCTATCCTGATCTCTAAACAGTGTACTTTACCCAACATCATACATTGTCTCTCCTGATCTCTAAACAGCGTACTTTACCCAACATCATACATATCTCTCCTGATCTCTAAACAGCGTACTTTACCCAACATCATACATGTCTATCCTGATCTCTAAACAGTGTACTTTACCCAACATCATACATGTCTCTCCTGATCTCGAAACAGCGTACTTTACCCAACATCATACATTGTCTCTCCTGATCTCTAAACAGTGTACTTTACCTAACATCATACATGTCTATTCTGCTCTCTAAACAGCGTTCTTTATCAACATCATACATGTCTCTCCTGATCTCTAAACAGCGTACTTTACCCAACATCATACATGTCTCTCCTGATCTCTAAATAGCGTACTTTACCCAACATCATACATATCTATCCTGATCTCTAAACAGCGTACTTCACCCAACATCATACATATCTCTCCTGATCTCTAAACAGTGTACTTTCCCTAACATCATACATGTCTATTCTGCCCTCTAACCAGCGTTCTTTATCAACATCATACATGTCTCTCCTGATCTCTAAACAGCTACTTTACCTAACACCATACATGTCTATTCTGCTCTCTAAACAGCGTTCTTTATCAACATCATACATGTCTCTCCTGATCTCTAAACAGCTACTTTCCCTAACCTCATCCATGTCTATTCTGCTCTCTAAACAGCGTTCTTTATCAACATCATACATGTCTCTCCTGATCTCTAAATAGCGTACTTTGCCCAACATCATACATGTCTCTCCTGATCTCGAAACAGCGTACTTTAACCAACATCATACATATCTCTCCTGATCTCTAAACAGCGTACTTTTCCCAACATCATACATGTCTATCCTGATCTCTAAACAGTGTACTTTACCTAACATCATACATGTCTATCCTGATGTTAAGGCAGCGTACTTTACCCAACATCATACATTGCCTCTCCTGATCTCTAAACAGTGTACTTTCCCTAACATCATACATGTCTATTCTGCCCTCTAACCAGCGTTCTTTATCAACATCATACATGTCTCTCCTGATCTCTAAACAGCTACTTTACCTAACATCATACATGTCTATCCTGATGTTAAGGCAGCGTACTTTACCCAACATCATACATATCTCTCCTGATCTCTGAACAGCATACTTTACCCAACATCATACATTGTCTCTCCTGTTGTAAAGGCAGCGTACTTTACCCAACATCATACATGTCTATCCTGATGTTCAGGCAGCGTACTTTACCCAACATCATACATGTCTATCCTGATGTTCAGGCAGCGTACTTTACCCAACATCATACATGTCCATCCTGATGTTCAGGCAGCCTACCCTGCCAATTCGACCCCATCCCCTCCCCAAACATGTTTGTCCATCCTACTGTGTTAGAATACCTTCTGATTACTAATGATATGTATTTTAATGAAAGACTTGCTTTCAGCTAATGTTGTGCAGTGATGGATTTTAAAAAAAATCAGCAAGAACTAATTTTTAATGTTTGCTTTTCTGTTTTGTTGAACTGATTTTTTCATTGTAGTTCTTTGAGTTGTTAATTGCATTTGTTTTGTTAAAAAAAGTAACCATGAATCATGTAAATTATTTGAGTAATGTAGACGGAGATTTCTACAGATAAGTGAAACATTGAGGTTGAGAAGAAAGAACTAATATCTTTTTCTGCTTAAGTTTGTCAATTGTCCGTGGTAAAATTTCTTCTTACAACTTATGTAAATGGATGTGTCAAACATTAGTATTGGGAATGAATTTCAGTGAAGTGTTGTTCTAACTTACATATTTCTTCATTAATTTACTTCTTCTGGCTAGTTCAAGTTCTGTTGGTTAAGTAGCAATAGTGTTCTCTTGTAAACTTTTAGTTGGTGTAATAGCCAACGAGTGTAAACTGTTAGTGTAATAGGCAACGAGTGTAAATGTCAGTTAGATAGTCTATTAGTTTAACTGTCGGTTGGTATAATAGTCTCCCTGTCTGCTAGTGTAAGCTGTCTGTTGGTGTGATGGTCGACTAGTGTTTACTCTCGGTGTTAGTTGACTCAAGTTAGTTGTCAGTTGGTGTAATAATCTACAATAAACATCAAAGATTTATATATTGACAATACACTGTATTTACAAACTTAGTGATTTTTTATCTTAAATATTTGTTCAAGCTTATTTCCTTTTACATTCTTTGGAATATTTGTCTGTTAAGTTTTGATCTATTGATTGTATATTGAGAGTTTAAAACTGCCTGTACCCTTAAACATCAATGTTAAGTTGCAGTTGAGCAAAATTGTGAAACAGAAAGGTCCTTAATGACACTGTCTTAGGAGTCCCGTTATTGACACTTCGATACTGGCGTTAGGTGACACTTCGATACTGGCGTTAGGTGACACTTCGATACTGGCGTTCGGTGACACTTCGATACTGGCGTTAGGTGACACTTTGATACTGGCGTTAGGTGACACTTCGATGCTGGCATTAGGTGACACTTCGATACTGGCGTTAGGTGACACTTCGATGCTGGCGGTAGGTGACACTTCGATACTGGCGTTAGGTGACACTTTGATACTGGCGTTAGGTGACCAATTACTGATACTCAGACACTGTCTTGGTATCCATTTACTGGTAGGGGATCCATTACTGGACTTAAACGCTGTCTGATGAATCCCTTTATTGGTTCTAGACAGTCTTACATGTTCTGTTACCGGTCTGAGGCATTGTCTTGGTCGTCCTATCTCTGACGCTTTGACACTCTGTTAGACATCCCGTTACCTTGCCACTGCTTCAGGTGACCTGGCTGTTAATGACACACTTTCTAAGGTGTTATGTGATAGTACATAAAGTTTCCCCTTTAATAAAGAACTATTAAGGTATTAATTGCTTCTTGATATGTTTTTATGTTCAGTCTATTGTTTCTTATTAATTTCATATTCATTTTATTGATTGTGTTTAGTTTGACATCAAACATTTATTTCACTCATTTTGTATGTATTTTGTGTTTACTACTCATAAAACACCAGCGAGAGTTGCGTTAGATATTGTGACAATGCATGATGTTATATCGTATTTTCTCTCAATAATTTGCATGTGTAAAAGATGATGTGTATAATTGAAGTTTTCTTAGGTTTGTTATAGTTTTAATTTGGAATAGACAGTTTGTTAATGATTACTACAAGTCTGGTAGATTGTTTGGATTGTCTACTGTACATGCGTTACTGAAAGTGATACTAAATTGTGTTTACTTAATAAAATTACAAGAGGACATTTGTCAGATACTGGAGAATGTGAAGAAAAACATCCTCTGATATTCAAATTAGCATTGAAATTATCAAATGACAAAAAAATTGCAACATGAACTCACATACAAGTTGTTTATCTATTTGATCTCAACATAGCTTACATAGCCAGGGAATAAAGCATACCATAAATTCACAAAAACTCCAAACATCAAGAACATACCTAAATATAATATGGTTATGTTTAGCCTGGCTGCCTCCATATACATCACAAATACAAGCATATGTTAACTGGCTATATCACCAACTGTACAGGTAGATGCTAACGGGCTATACCACAGACTGTACAAGTAGATACAGACTAGCTATATCACAGTCTGGCCAAGTATATACAGACTGGCTATATCACAGTCTGGCCAAGTATATACAGACTGGCTATATCACAGTCTGGCCAAGTATATACAGACTGTACAAGTAGATACAGACTAGCTATACCATAGACTGTACAAGTATATACAGACTAGCTATATCACAGTCTGACTAAGTATATACAGTACAAGTAGATACAGACTAGCTATATCACAGACTGTACAAGTAGATACAGGCTAGCTATATCACAGACTGTACAAGTAGATATAGGCTCGCTATACCACAGACTGTACAAGTAGATACAGACTGGCTATATCACAGAGTGACTAAGTATATACAGACTGGCTATATCACAGTCTGGCCAAGTATATACGGACTGGCCATACCACAGACTGTACAAGTAGATACAGACTGGCTATATCACAGACTGTACAAGGAGATACAGACTAGCTATACCACAGACTGTACAAGTATATACAGACTAGCTATATCACAGTCTGACTAAGTATATACAGTACAAGTAGATACAGACTAGCTATATCACAGACCGTACAAGTATATACAGACTGGCTATATCACAGACTACAAGTATATATAGGCTAGCTATACCACAGACTGTACAATTAGATACAGACTAGCTATATCACAGACTGTAAAAGTATATACAGACTGGCTATACCACAGACTGTACAAGTATATACAGTCTAGCTATATCACAGTCTGACTAAGTATATACAGTACAAGTAGATACAGACTAGCTATATCACAGACTGTCTATATCACAGACTGTACAAGTAGATACAGACTAGCTTTATCACAGTCTGGCCAAGTATATACAGACTGGCCATACCACAGACTGTACAAGTAGATACAGACTAGCTATACCACAGACTGTACAAGTATATACAGACTAGCTATATCACAGTCTGACTAAGTATATACAGGCTAGCTATATCACAGACTGTACAAGTAGATACAGACTAGCTATATCACAGACTATACAAGTAGATACAGGCTAGCTATATCACAGTCTGGCCAAGTATATACAGACTGGCTATATCACAGACTACAAGTATATATAGGCTAGCTATACCACAGACTGTACAAGTAGATACAGACTAGCTATATCACAGACTGTAAAAGTAGATACAGGCTTGTTATATCACAGTCTAAGTATATACAGGCTTGTTATATCACAGACTGTACACGTAGATATAGGCTAGCTATACCACAGACTGTACAAGTAGATACAGGCTAGCTATACCACAGACTGGCCAAGTATATACAGACTGGCTATATCACAGTCTGACTAAGTATATACAGGCTTGTTATATCACAGACTGTACAAGTAGATATAGGCTAGCTATACCACAGACTGTACAAGTAGATACAGACTGGCCAAGTATATACAGACTGGCTATATCACAGACTGACTAAGTATATACAGGCTTGCTATATCACAGACTGTAAAAGCAGATACAGACTAGCTATATCACAGACTGTACAAGTAAATACTGAGTATGTACAAGTATATTCAGGCTAGCTATACCACAGCCTACAAGTATATACAGGATAGCTATACCACACACTACAAGTATATACAGGCTAGCTATACAACAGACTGTACAAGTAGATACAGACTGGCTATATCACAGTCTGACTAAGTATATACATGCTTGTTATATCACAGTCTGAATAAGTATATACAGGCTTGTTATATCACAGACTGTACAAGTAGATACAGGCTAGCTATACCACAGACTGTACAAGTAGATACAGGCTAGCTATACCCCAGACTGTACAAGTAGATATAGGCTAGCTATATCACAGACTGTACAAGAAGATATAGGCTAGCTATACCACAGACTGTACGAGTAGATACAGACTGGCTATATCACAGTCTGACTAAGTATATACAGTACAAGTAGATACAGACTAGCTATATCACAGTCTGGCCAAGTATATACAGACTGGCTATACCACAGACTGTACAAGTAGATATAGGCTAGCTATACCACAGACTGTACAAGTAGATACAGACTAGCTATACCACAGAGTGTACAAGTATATACAGAATGGCTATATCACAGACTGTACAAGTAGATATAGGCTAGCTATACCACAGACTGTACAAGTAGATATAGGCTAGCTATACCACAGACTGTACAAGTATAAATAGGCTGGCTATATCACAGACTGTAAAAGTAGATATAGGCTAGCTATACCACAGACTGTACAAGTATATACAGACTGGCTTTATCACAGTCTGACTAAGTATATACAGGCTTGTTATATCACAGACTGTAAAAGTAGATGCTATATCACAGACTGTACAAGTAAATACTGAGTATGTACAAGTATATATACAGTCTAGCTATACCACACACTGTACAAATAGATACAGGCTAGCTATACCATAGCCTACAAGTATATAAAGGATAGCTATACCACACACTGTACAAGAAGATACAGGCTAGCTATACCACAGCCTACAGGTATATACAGGCAGGCTATATCACAGACTGTACAAGTATTATATAAAGGTAGCATAATAGACTGTTCAGTACTGGTATATACTGGTAAGGACGAGGTAGTTCATCACCATTAGAGAGATTGTCATGCATGCTTTAGATTCAATTTTTCTGAGTTTGAGCTTTTGATATCTATTTATTTTATATTAATATATTATACTCATTTTGTTTATTGTCATTTAAATTTAGATTTAGTTAATTCTTATTTTTCCTGTAAATTTTATGAAATATGAATCGGTCCTAATTGTCAAATTCATTTCAAAGATGAAACAAATTCAACCAATTATCATTATAGGTTTATTTTATTTAACCCTGATGATCTGTTATCCAGCAGATACTTTTTATCTGTGAAATGTTACTGATAGTGGATAGATTTTTTGTTGTAAAATATTAACTATCTTGCATCAATTTGCCATCATACTCGTTATCTTGATGCAGTGTTACAAATTAATTAAATCATACTTGGCTTTTATTTCCCTCAAATAACTAACTTATCTGGTAAGTTATTTAGAAACTAATTATTGGATATAATGGGATGCCAACATTAATTTTAAATATCCTAATAAATTGGCTGATGAGCATGCTTCTATTTAATGTGGTTGTCTCCCTTGCATGATCTTAATCTAGATACTGTTCCACTTCAGCCTCCACCTATGCTTCCAAAAGGGAAATTTTCTGAAGAATTCATCGACTTTGTCGACAAATGGTGAGTTAATAAAGATTTATTCCTGATTTCTAATCTTTTATGCTGACTTTGACTTTCATTGTTAGTGAAAAAGCATTTAAATATTTTGGTGATGAACCTGAAAAAAGGAACCAATTTCAACAGTTACTGTAGTAATTATACAAATGTAACACCAGAGATATGTGAGTTATATAGACCAGGGCCCGTATTCATGAAACCATTCTCATGCTCAATCATGGATTCTGCGCTCAAGTATAACTTCTTGTTCCAGTTATTGTTTAATAAAAAAAGCTATTTTGTCAATGATTTGGAAAAACTTTAAGAGACTTAAAGCTGAATACTGTTCTCAATGTTTGCATTGAACTTTTTGATTATTTAATATGATTTAAGTGCCAAGAAAGTTGGTTTGAGCACAGAATCCATGCTTGAGCAGGAGAACGGTTTCAAGAATACATGCCCTGGGGCGTTGTTGATTTCTGAAACGCTTTGGTTGATGACAAGATGGGCTGTGTCTGTGTTTTTATCATCATTATGTCGCTGATCAATGCTATTTTGTATGTTGCAGCCTGAAGAAGAACCCGTCTGACCGAGCTGATCTGTCCTCACTGATGGTATAGTTGTCCCTTCTTATTCATTTGTTATGGAAAAAATGTCATTCCTGCAAGTGTTCCTCTGTCTTAATGTCAAAAAATTTTTTTTGAATACTGTGATAACTAGCATCCTCTTAATATGTACATACTGTATACTAATTGTATGTACTGTGTTAATGTGTGTTTTCTTTGTATGGGTGGTTGGGTGGCAAAATGGATAGTGCACTCACCTTTCACTAAGACAGTGGGGGTTCAGTTCATTTCCACGTTCGGAAGTGCAAAGGCATTGGGTCACCTGCCTGCGGACCAGGTGGGGTTCCTCCCACATTAAGACCTTCTGAGAACTTTTATCTGGGCTCACAAGAGTGGTTCATATAAGTTTTAAAATATTCTTTCATAACTGTTGAAAAAAGTTTATATCTCTTTGTATAGACAGATAAATTTGTGTGTAACCTGATAGTCTTATAGTCAGAAACATTAAATATATGGAGATGTTTTATGGACCAATTCATCAGTTTGCGGACCCGTACAGGTTGGGGGAAAGAATAGGCCTGCTGTATTCCACTGCATGATCATAAGATTCAACTATTGTAACATCCGCCTCCTACCTGCAGAATCGGGCGTTTTCTTCAGTGTCTTCTATGAAGGGACATGGAAGATCCCTAAGTGGATCTGCCGCCACCATTGACACACTTAGAATCTTTTTTGTTGTCTATCTTTCCTGTTTTCTTTCTAAAAGTCTACTTTCTGTTGCAGTGGAGTCCCCCTATATAGCTAGGCACCTGTCCTTATATTACTCTGACTGATGCGAGGACATTTAATCCCTAACAAACAACCATCATCAGTTTGCGACCCTGCAATAATGTATAATTATATGTGTAGATAATTTCTTGACAAGTTCACCAGTTGGTCACCAGTAGTGTTATAAAAAAAATAGTGTGTATCAGAATATACATGTGTACCATTTCATTGGACTGATTCATCCATTTGTGACTTTGTAGTACCATATCGTTATAGTGTGTGACCTCTTAACACTTGTACATTTTCTTCGGACAGGTTCATCCATTTGTAACCCGGTCAGAGACTGAAGATGTGGACATTGGTCACTGGGTGTGTAAGGTGATGAAGACAAATTCAGAAACCTAGAGACAATGTTTCAGTCTAACTGTGGTTTACCCAACGTCACCTCTGGAGGCATGCTAAGGTGTTACAATGATTGATCGTTGGGATCGACTGCTGACCATTTATAGACAGAAGCTGCTGGACTTGTATCTCTTGTATATCACAGTATAGCATGTTGTAACGAGGTGTGGGTAGGTTTGAGGGCTCACCATCACAGGGGGCTGTCTCGCTTCATTGTTCTTATGTACACACACTCTCTCCTAGTATCACGAACAAAAACAGTTTAATCTTCTTTCAAATGGAGATGTGATGTAAAGTTACAATGTACTGTGAAGTTTAAAAGACCTTTATGTAAAGAAAAAGGAAGTTAAGGTCAGTCTTTACAAAGGAAAATTGTATTTTTAGATAACATGATAACTTTGTTGTTACTGGAATGTCAGGAGGGATGAATGCTGGGAGGAGACTATTCTGAAGGTTCTGATGGAATAGGTTTGGCTGGTCCTTATTACATAGCATCACTATTTGTGTTGAAGACTGATGTGTGTTTGTAGCTCCTGGAGGCAAGTAAATAGTCGTAATTATATGAAAACTTTCATCAAACTGAGAGTAGTAAAATGTTTATCTGTTTTGTAAGATCTTCTCCGTAGTAATTGGAACTTTATGTACATGTATTACATGTTTTATTTTTTAATTAAACCTTGAAAGCTGCAGTAAAGGGTATAGATTGTTGTAAAATATTATTACTCATATGATTTTGTGCATAGAATGCATCAGTCGCATGTATCTCCTTTCAAATTCAGGATTGAAATGTGTAACTTCTAACCATCCTACCTTTTGATGTGTCTGATAAATTGCTGTTTATCTCAATTACTCTATAAGTTTATTGTCAATTTGTTATCCTGTTTTACCATCAATGATACGTTATATCGTAAAAAAATGTGCAAATTCATATTTTTATTTTTTCATTGCACACTAAACAAAATTTTAGTTGAGTATGATAATGCATATTCTTGTCCAGAAATGGAACATTTCAATTCAGATGATGCTGGATTTTTGCAGATCTGTACCTTCGACTTGCTGATGGTTTAATTCGATTCAGATCTTCCTTTTTTCTTAGGTCTTGAACTATTTTATAGCCATGTATGAGTAATGGACACTAGATGTCCGTCCTATAGCCATGTATGAGTAATGGACACTAGATGTCCGTCCTGTCATCTATGTATGCAATACACAACTGTGTGTTTCTCTAACGATGATTCCATGTCATCTCATCAACACTTATTATGTTTATCTATTTAATATTAACATGTAAATAGTTTCTGTAAGATATATGCTTGAGTATATATTAAAATTTATATTAATAATGCTATCAGCAACTTGTTATATGCATTTACACTCTATTTAACAGTTATAAATGATATTTTCTGATAGTCTACGTGTCTCTGTTGGTCATTCCCCATTATACCTGAATCTCCCAGGTTTGTGTTAACTCATCACTAACCTTATGATGTGGCAGAAATTTCAGACAGAACTATTAAACAATCATGTCAATTTGATTTATCAACAAAGTACAAAGGTCTCCCTGGTAGAGAGTGTAGCTTCTAATTATTAATGTGAAACAGGTTGCTAGTTGAGTGAGACCTGTGATGTTGGCGTTGTTATAGCTTGGTTGCCTGATGTGTATGTGGATGTTTTACAATTAGGCCACAAGCTGATGTGAGCAGCAATGTTTTTGTACTATTTCAATGCATATCATGATCACTGAAGTGTTTGTAATACAATATCAGGTTTATTGAAAGGTTTGTAATACAATGTCACAGTCACTGAAAGGCTTGTAAAACAAAATCAGGATTACTGAAGTGTTTGTAATACAATAGCACAGTCACTGAAAGGCTTGTAATACAAAATCAGGATTACTGAAGTGTTTGTAATACAGATACCTTAAAAAACAGGTAATTATTAAGGTATTTTGGTAAGTGATGGTACTGTAGTTACTTGTATGTTCATCCCTATCAGTTCACACACAATATCCATACAACATTCCTTTTATACCAGTCACTCCTCTTGTGTTTAGCCATTCTAGGGTCAGGCTACTGCAGCTTGTTTGTGTCTTAAGTGTTTCATAATTTGTTAAGCCTATATTCCATCTTTGTGTATTGCAGAGTTATCTTCTCTTGTGAGCAGGGAATGATTGTTACGTCATTGGTTTGTGCGAGAAAATTACATCGTTTTCTCAAAAATTGATGACGTTACTCTCACAAACAAGGGACATAACAATCAATACCTGCTCCCAAGATAAGATAACTCTGCAATACGCAAATACGGAATAGCTACTCAGTAATCATTACTTTTTCCTAGGCCATAGGCTTTCGCTTGTAGATAATTTTATTGAAGATCTTTGATGGTTTGTGTTGTCTTGGAATTGGTAACTTGACTTTTTTTCCTTGGACGAGTTCCTGAACTGTGAAAGTGGTTGTCGGTGTAATTGATTTATGTTTTTTCTGAGGACTTTCCATGGTTCCATTGATAGGTACAGCTGGTGAATCGGTTACAGTGAGGATTTCCCCATAGTTGATCCTGCTATCAGCAGTTGAGCAGAGTAAGCCACCGAATATTATTTCACTATTGATGATGCTATCCAACATTTATGCCGATTCTTTCATTGTTTTATTTAGCTTATGTAAGCTGATTCATAATAGTTTTTGAAAGAAATCTTGATAGTGCTGTGTGTATTAGATGACACCATTCCATGTCCATTCACTGTAACGTGACAGAACTGTAGCATTGTCGGTGTAGTTTGTTACATCAATGAGGGCTATGCTTAATTGACATTCATCCTCAGTGATGGTCACATTCAGTGCTAGTTTATTCTAAGGAGAAACATGTCTAGATATGGATTGTAAGGTTTAGTCTTGTCTTTTGTATGTTTAATGCTGTCAGTATCAATTCAATTTGCTAACAGATACTAGTAACAATTTTATACAGGTAGGGATATATAAACAACAGTTATATGCTGTTACATTCTGTAAGAAATGGTGACCAGTATCATAGTTGTGAAACTTTGACAGTAAGTGATGTTTGTAGTTTCAATTTACATGTACATGTAGTGTTCATGTTTAAATTGCTAATATCGAATCATTGACCAAAATAGCCAAACAGTTAATATAGGCTCAACTTTCTGCACAATCAAATCGTGTACTATCACTAGACCATGAAAAACCATGAGTACAAATGATCAATTAACGCTTAGCAAATTATGAAATAAAAACTGCTTTTCTTAATGGAAAGATTTATGAGGACCCATTAAATCCAGGACTTTAATGTACTCTATTAATTGGCTTGACATTACTGTGCTTTATTCTAGTAATGGTGTTATGTAATGCACATTAATGACAGAATTTATCAGAAGTTTTGATGATGTAAATGACCATATTTAATGAGCATTGACAAAAGAAATATGGCTATTAAAAACAGACTAGCTTTGAATTAATGGCACAGAAATTATCTATTTAATATTCAATGACCATTTAATTTATTCTGTAAGAATAAAAATGGTTTAGATCTTCAACACAAGATAAATTTAATGGCCATTAAATTGCTTATTAATGATTAAAAAAAAAAAATCAGGGAAAACCCCCCAGAGGATTTGGAAAAATTCAATAGCCACATTGAGCATGCTGATGAAGAGGTAAGGCTAATTAGGTTTACCTATTAGCTAAGCATGACCTTTTGACTTTCACTGTGGTTCTCTTTAACTCCTCCAGGTTGAGATCTTCCTGTAGTGTGATAGATGTTGGATGCATTAGATATGTATTGAAATTGAAATAATGAACTTTATAATACAAAGTGTTTAGAAATGTTGGATAGTTAGACAAATCATTAAATATTACACAGTAGTACATGTATCATACTGTATTACATTTAGTTAGCACTAAATTAAAATAGAATCGAAACATTGTCATGATACACATGTTTCACTAGATCATCAATAAAGTTGGTATTTTAATATTACACATGTATTTCAACTGATTAAAATTACCTGTTAAATCATGAATTTGTTGTATATATTTTCGTCTTTGGTAAATATGTTCAGTCAACAGAAATGACCAGTGAGTGGCAGTAGAAAGGAAATAATTTAAATTCAATCTTCTAAAATATAATGGGCGGGCGCGCGGCACACATAAGTTTACGCTCAATAACTGAGTAATTTTGAATGGATTCATTTCAAAATTAATAGGAAGGTTCATTGCCATGAAAGCTCGGACAAGTTTGATGACCAAAATTATTTGCCTGTTATTTACGCAGTTATGGGCCTTTGTAGAATTGCCGAAACAGTTTCCGCTCAATAGCTTCAGTAATTTTGAATGGATTCATTTCAAACTTAATAGGAAGGTTCATTGCTATGAAAGCTCAGACTATAGTAAATATAGCAAATTTTTCTTTAAAATCCTTCTTCTTCTGTAGGAATGAAAGGATTTGTATTTGGTGTGGAGCATCCTTGGGTAAAGGGAAACCAATTTTGTATAAACGATGGGTCTGGCCCCCCTGGGGTCAGAGGGGCAGGGCCCAATAGGGGAAACATAGCAAATTATTCTTAAAAATCCTTCTTCTTCTGTAGGAATGAAAGTATTTGGTCCATATTTTGAGTGGAACATCCTTGGGTAAAGGGAAACCAATTTTGTATAAACCATGGGTCTGGCCCCCCAGGGGCCTGAGAAGCGGGGCCCAATAGGGGAAATATAGCAAATTCTTTAAAATCCTTCTTCTTCTGTAGGAATGAAAGGATTTGGTCTGAAGCATCCTTGGGTGAAGGGGATCAAATTTTGTATATACCGTGGGTCTGACCCCCCCCCACCACCACCACCACCACCACCACCTAGGGGCCCCAAAGGCAGAGCCCTATAGGGGAAACATAGCAAATTATTCTTTAAAATCATTCTTCTTCTGTAGGAATGAAAGGATTTGGTCAGAAGCATCCTTGGGGGAATGGGATCCAATTTTGTATAAACTGTAAGTCTGGCCCCCAGGGGCCTGAGGGGCGGGGCCCAATAGGGGAAACAGCAAATTATTCATCAAAATCCTTCTTCTTCTGTAGGAATGAAAGGATTTGTTGTGGAACATCCTTGGGTAAAGGGAAACCATTTTTGTATAAACGGTGGGTGTGGCCTTCCTGGGATCTGAGGGGCGGGCCCAATAGGGGAAATAGAGGTAAAACCTTTATAATCCTTCTTCTACCATAGGGATCAAGGGATTTTATCCTTATTCAGTCTGGAGCATCCTTCGGTAAAAGGGACTCAATTTCCTATAAACAGCGAGTGTGGCCTCCCTGGGGGCAGAAGGGAGGGGCCCAATAGGGGAAATAGAGGTAAAACTTCAAAATCCGTTTTTCACGCATAGGTATTGCTTTGTCGGCGGCGGTGGCGTCGTCCGAACAGAGGTTTTCGTGAGATAACTTGAGTTTCCTTGGGCCGATCAAACTCAAACTTCATGTAGTGCTTCCTTACCAAAAGTGCTTGATTGGGATTGCTTTTCAGGTCCAAAGGTCAAGGTAACTGTTACTATAAATAGAAACTTCACTAAAACTGTATACTGGACGGCTTCGATCTACCACTTGACCCACCGTGTATACCTCTGAAATGCCGTCTTACTCCAAATGTTATTGACAACACTAGCTGTTTAACATCATAATCCACAAG